TATCTAATAAAAGTGATAATGCCAAAGCATAGAAGTAAAGTTCTACCATTATTCCTTCGAAAATATGTTTCTGCTATGCTGTGTTACTTTGAACTTAGGTTGTGGATCTGACTGTCAAAAGTTTTGCTGAACCAAGTGATGAATTCTGAGGTAGTTTTCAGGAATGAGTTCTCTATGATGCTGATATGTATCTTGAGTAGTGCAAATGGTTGATCCTTTCTCAGGTTGTCTAATTTCCCATAGTCTATGCTGCTAACAGTAAGTACCACATTATTGGAACCCCAATCTTTTAAAGTAAGATTTCCCAGGTAATAAACCCTGACTTTGAGTAGTCGTATGACTTATCAAGTTAGTGATTTGATTCGAAGGCATTATACAGCATAAGAAATGAGCGTCGATCGTCTGTAATTATTAAGGCATTAAGGTTCAGCTGAGGATTAATTTATAATTTACTCTTCCGACTATATACTTCCGCCAAATACAACTATCTCCCCTACCTGCGTATGTCCTGGGTTGTATAAAGTCAAAAACTCAGAGATCTTTAACAAATAGCCACCTGCAAACCCTCCCCAGCTAATAGTTACAAAACCCTTGAATTCTTGATATAGCATGTTATTAGTCACCTTAACCTCATGTCTTGAAACCAGACACTTTTTGCTGGCTTACAACTATCAGCGTACAATGAGGTAATCTTAGAGAAAGAGAATATTGTGATGGGTTTTATTTTTATGAAATTGATATCTATTCAACTCTAAACGTCATTGGAAACAACATGCTACTAATTCTGTTTTGTCAGTATGAAGGAAATAAGTGTTTCAGTTTTACATATCTTACTGGTGAAAAAACAGTTTACTGTGACAATATCCATGATATAATCAGCAGGATTATACACCTAGCATAGTTCGTCATTAGACAGGAAAAGAGATCAAGGTTAAGCCAGGACTCATGACTGTCGCTAATTAGACCTATTTGCTTGAAGCCCGAATGAAGAATTGACATATAAGTGAGATTTTTATACAGCATTTGAAATGGATCCCGTTGATAACAACAAAATTCTTCAAAACCTCCTGCTAAATAGGAACAATAATTCTAATGAGTTCAGATGATCTGAGTACTTCCTCCTCTTCTTTGTACATTTATCAGTTGATATGGACCTGGAAAGTTTAGTAAGGGATGAATAAAAAACGTATTTCATTCAGTTTGTATATGAGTCTATAAGGCACAGTAGAAATGATTTTCACCTCTGTGAACAAAACACATTTCTGCCATCACTCTCCTTACCTAGACAGCCAAAATAATTTAATTCTCATTATGACTTCGTACTTAATAGACAGACTTCCTAATTTGCTAATCTCATTATGTTAGTTCGCACGTCTTTGTGTGAGTAATTATACTTAGTTATTGTTGGCTCTTGTTTACTTAAGATTATAGCCACTCACATCATAGACGTTACGAATGTCCTGGAAGACGCTGAGCACCGAGCCTTGTTTATTTGACAAAATCTGCCATCCTCTAATCATTATTTTAGTATTGAAAACCAGAACCTGTATATTACTTTTGAGGCGTAAATATGTCAGTTAAAGTATTGTTCTCAGAATTAATCTTAATGCACTTACTGTAAGAACTTGTACATCAGATCTGACTTATCTTAAAACTGGTGATCATCAAGTTTTTCGAATTCGCAAATACATTCAAACCTGATTGAAGTTGAGAATTCAGGAGAAGTAGTACTCATTGTGAAGTAAGTGGTTACAGAACTAACATAGATTCTTTCTACTTCCTGTCATCTCTTTTATGCTTATTAACGGTAGCCTCAATCCACAACTGTCGAGCTGATGCAAATTGTGCCGTAACTGTCTAATTTATTAAGCAACGTTACACACGGGAATACACCTACTCGAATTGTTGATACTTTATATAAACCATGACCATGATTTGACCTAGAAGTATAGCAAATACTGGGCACTGAGTAAACATTTGACATTAGATATCGTTTACGTTTTTGTAAATCACAGAGTGTTTGAAATAAGGTAATTCTAACGCTCCACAAAATAGTCTGGCCCAAGTTCTTTCGGAGAAATAATCAGAAATTGAAGTATCACAGTCTAATAAATGTTTGGACGTATCCCAACTAATAATGGACTGAGTGGTTTTGAAAAACTATGATTCATCGTTTAAGGTGTATTTTTGCTTGTGTAATCCCGGCGTAGTATATTAGAACAAATAATATATTGTTCCTCAACTTTTTGGTCTTGCAAGCAAAATCCTTCTCTAGAGTATTAGTCAGAGATTGTTTTCAGGTAATACTGAAGTTTTGATAAAATGTATTGAATATTAACCTGAAAACTTAATGTCTGATTCATACTCTTGAAATGGATTTTTCTGGCAAGAGGAGTAACACAAAGTATTTGTTATTTGTTCTAATATACTACGCTGGGGTTACACAGGTAAAATTACATCTGATACAATGAAGATATATAAATGAATTCAGAGACTTACACTCAGTCTCCTTGTCCAATCCTCTTCGTATATTTATTATCTTTCTAAAATAGATTGCCAGTCATTTAGTGGGAAATTTTATATACCTTGTTGTCTGGTTGTCATGTGTGTGTGTGTGTTCATGTATGTTCTTATTCTTGTTTTCTTTGATTGCAAATGCGACATAAATGGGTCACAGGTGACATCGTTGTCATTCGGTAACTTCATAATTGGAATGGGGCATATAAGGTGGATAGATATGTCAATACTAACACTAATACTAGTAATAATAATAATAATGACAGCTTTATTCCAAACAAGACTTGTGGTACAAGTATATAGAGACGAATAGTATTAGCAAATTTTTATTGCTGCCATGGAAATGAGTGGTATTAGTGGTGGAGGTGACGCTAATAATAATAATAGTGATGGATCAACTCAACACGTATGGTGTTACTGATACAGAGATAACAGAGTTGAGACTAGTGTTAAAGGTAAGTGCTAGAGTTACTCTTTCTGGTTACTAATTGGTAAATGCTAAGGGGCAGCTAACTACTCAATCACGCTTACTTAGACTGTCTGAATTGTAGGGCTTCAGATGCCAATGTTTCTTGGCATGATGAAAAACCTTTTTGTAGAACCATAGTTCTGTCAAAGTTAATTTTGATGGCACATTCCTGTGGAATGAAGAGCGATTGCCGATTTGTTTTCTAGCTTCTTAACCTTTGGCAAAGTATTCTGAATCGGATTTAAGTATAGTCTATGCTCCTTCGCGCTTACATCTACCTACCTAGCTATCTCCTCCAAATATACTGCATCATGATATACGAATTTGATTTCATACATCCAGTTTCATTGATTTTCTTTAGGTAATACATCTGCAACTTTCATTAAGATACAGAGTAGGGTGCTTGTTTCGTGAAAATGAACTCTTATGTCATGTTTGTTGAAAGCCGCTTGTATTTATTCCGAGATCTCCGTAAGACATTGATTTACCATTGTGTTTATCCAACTCTTCAAAGGAAGTTTCGGTATCTCCCTAATTCTGTTTATTAAAATGCATCTTTTAAGTACTTTAATCAAATTGTTGGAGGTGTAAAACATTTTGCCACTGAATTTGTCTCTAAGAAATATATGAACAAGTTAGCTGCCATTGAGGCTACTGGAGATCCATCTGCTTTACCATCTGCCGGTTAATTTGTTTCTAAAAATCCTGTAGGATCCTAAGAGACGTTTGCTTATCTTACTTAAGATGTAGTTGTATTATGTGTATGCTTAAACGTATTGATACATTGGGAAGTAATCACAAAATGTTTATAACAGTCTTTAACTCTAAAGCATACCTTATCCCCTGGTTAAAAGTTCGAACTAGTATTGATTATTCTTTACACCTATGCTTCGTCACCTGACTATTGAGCCGAACACACTAAGGCTATGAATGTAGAATATTTATTGCGAATGACTTTCTCTAGAAAGTTGTGTGAACGTGAAGACAACCTTAAATACAAAATTATACCATCATGTTCAGCAGGTAGAGTTTTAGTTACACTTTTTATAGTTCTAATCACCTTATTTGTTTTTATTACATATTTTATTGTTACGTTTTAGTTGTAGGATCACAAGAGGTATAAATGACTTTCAGTCTAAAGAATATATACGTTACCATTTATTGTTAGGAAATTTTTAATTTGCAATGACATCAAAAAATGGAATAAGTTGTACTTTTGAGTACACGAAGGCAACTTTTCAAGAGAATACTATAGTTTCACAAAAAGGTAAATCGGGTTTTGTCAGAAGATGGTAAATGCCGAAAGCAACACCTGAAACCAAGTTTTGCACCTTTTTACACACGTCAACGGAATGTATGATGACCTCTTTAATCTTAAGAAATGAGTACAAAAGATTTTTAAAGCATTTTCTTTCTGGTCATATTTATCACGAACTGATATGAGTTTAAGAAGCATTCAAAATCTGGGGAGAGTGGACACGTGGTTCGTCCCAATGTACTATTCCTCAGCAGTATGCATCAATGACCTCAAATGCCAGGCTTTGAACTCGGGGCTTTCAGGTTTCCTAGTTCACGAGTTAACCATTCAGGCACTGGATCGGAACTTGATGGTCTGCAGTTTTTTACTTCTGTCAATTCGTGACATAGCCCGACTATCATTCAACGTCATCACTTGGTATCCGCCTCACCTCCGACTGGTTGACCTTACTAGTCACGGCTTTTCATTAGAACTTTAGGATGACTGTCTTGAAGCGTATCATAAATGAGCACCATACCGTAGTGTATTTTGAGGCGAATAAGCATTTCAATTTTATTAACCTTAAAACATATTTTTTTTACGTATCACTCTAATATTCTATTAGCGCCTGTATCAGATATTATCGTATTACCTTTCACTTACTTTCTTCCAATACACATTAATATTATTCAATATGTTTTCATATAGAATCGAAAGAAAGATATTTTAGATTAAAAACCACACGAAAATTTATCAGATTTTGAAAAACAAAACAGTTTTTTCTGAAAATTTTATTTCTTGAAAATTAAAATGAAGCAAAATAAACATCTTATTCTGAGAAAATAATAAAGCAGAACATTGAAACAATGAGACAATACTAGAAATATCAATTAACAGTAGTATTTTATGCTTTCAAAGACAATATGTTTAATTGTCTGAAAAGATTTCATGATTTTTTATGTCATAGATTCATATCTTTTTCTAATATCACTCAATGTAACCACTTTTATGAGACAGAATGTTAAAAAAATGTTTACTGATCAATCTAAGCAAGGTGTAAGATGTAAATTAAATGTTTCCAAAATAATTAGCTCACTTGAAACCGTTTTTTTTTACCTGTTTTAGACATTAAACAATAAACGAAAAGATTAAAATAATTTTTTATTTCTATTGTACACTTATACTAAATTCAATGTATTGTTTTCTTCTCAATAAGGGTATACATGAGAATACTTGAAAAAAAAAGCCATAAAATAATTTTGTTTCTTGTTATTTTTATGGATTTTCATATAAATCTTCATCAGTAATGATACGTTTCACAGAATCTTTTAATAATGTATACCTTTTAAGAAATCCTTCATTTTTACTGGAATGATAAAGGCAGTCTAATTCATTTATAGTTTGTATTATTAATTGTAAACGATTTTCTAAACGTTCATTTAATTCACGTAAACGTCGATTTTGAATATTCAATTCTTCAATTGTATAATCTGTATAAAAATATAATACGAAGTATAAAATAGTCAACTTTATTTATACATTTTTGTACAATTTCTCAAATAAAAATCCCTTGAAAAATAACACAAGTAAGCACCATTGGCTGAAAAATGATATGGTATACTGACCTAAACGACAAACTATTTTATATCTTTCATGAAAACGGATTATTGAAAAATATCTATCCTAAAATTTTAATGATATTTTATTCTCTGAGCTAAATAGTTTAATCTTGGTCTTTTCATTGTCCTTTTAGACAATATCATAAGCAAAAATTTCGGAAAGAGGTAAACTATGGAATCTTCTCCGTAGGTAACTTAGTGGCTTGTTTAAAGCATCCTATAGCTCACTTGTTCCCGAAGTTTGTGCTTATGATGTTGTCTAGAATGTCAATGAAAGCTTCACGATTAAACCATACAGCTCAGAGAAAACAGCATCAGAATCATCCTCATAAGCTACTAATATTCTCCATCATCTCACAATTCTATTCTTTAATCCTACCGATGTAAAAGGCTGCAATCACCATCAACGGGAGAACGTTAAAGGAAGTAGCCTTTTTCACCTATCTACGCAGTACTGTTTCAACTACAGGCGGCACAGGCACGGACGAGAACGTCAAAGCCAGCCAGGATTGGAAAAGCAAGACAGGCGTTCATTAGCCTGAAACCAGTGTGGAAATCTTCTGCACTCAGCATAAAGCATGAACAAGATCCGAATTTTCAACACCAACGTCAAGTTAGTGCTTATGTGTGGTTGAGGGACTTGGCGCGTTACGAAAAGCATTTCCAACAAACTATAGATGTTCATCAACAGCTGAGGCCTACTCTCGATAGTGATGCTCAGATGGCCAGAATAATAAGAATAAGCAACAAAGAACTCCGAGGTGAGGCTGACATAGGAGAGATCACGTGAGGAATAAATGAAAGCTTGTGGGCAGTCTTGGAGCCAGGTTCAAAAGATTGCAGAGAAGCGAGCGAAATGGAGGCGTGCTACTGAAGCCCTGTGTTCCACTAGGAACCCAAGGCACAAATAATAATAATAACCTATGTAAAAAATAAAACGACTACTTAACTTCAGGTGTAAATTTCTTCTACTTTTATTTTTCCTGTTAAGCGTCGAGATATACTACCAGTCACAATCCAACTAAAAAGCCTCATTTCCACAAATTATTTTTCTTCACACAGTGGACTACAAACCAGGTTACGTAAGAGGTTAGAAAGATTTCATATAAACGACGTCAGTTCAAGAGATATTTTTAATCAAAAAATCCGTATCTTGAAGAATAACCTTCGTTAAAAATATTAAGCCCATGAATTAGAAAGATCTGTATGTAGGGAAGGTAGTGAAATAAATGTATTAGCTATTTCTCACTATAATGTCCTGTAAATGACCTTTATATTGCATAACTGTTCAAATAGTTCCATAAGATTACGTAAAATCAAAATTCTTTTTAATCAAGCCTATCTTTTATTCTCTTGTAACTTCAATGTACCATTTTGAAGTCAATAAATACACAGTGACCGTGAATAATTCCACTTATTTTAAGCTACCCGGCTTGGAAAGATAGATTTGTGACTTGCATTTTAACGCCTTCTCGAAAATGTTATAAATACACAATCCTATTTAGTTGGTGTGTTTTTTTCCCGTATCTTCCAGCAGTTTTAGCTTTGTAGTTAAAAAAAAGATGACTGACAATTTTCTTTCGAGCATGAATAGTCACTACTTTCTCTACAAATGGGTACTCCAGTGCCGTGTACAAATTCTTTAACTTAGTGACACCTTATATAATTTTATTATATACTGATGTCTTACTAGCTGGTTTGAATAAGTGATCCGGAATACATTTCAACAAAGTACAAATAAAAATTAAGTAGCACTAAACTGTACTACTTATATTTTAAGAATGAATAACTGGAATGAAGGTTTTTACCATCTGACTTTACTGAAGAAACAGAAACTTTTTTACACTAACCAGAAATATACACTTCAATTAGCAAATAATTTTTTTACTTTACAAAATATAAAGTTGTTGTAAAGATTATTTTAGCTGCAATCGTTATTTATTCAGCAGCAATAGAAATATTTTTCATCAAACCATTAAAATTTTTAAACCTTCAACACTTTCCAAAGAATTTCAATGAGGTAGAGTTTATGTAGTTACAATATGAAATTGTGATATCTGGAATCAGCTGAGTTTCAGAACGTTGAAACTAATACACACTGACGATCCTAGTCTAGAAGCAACGGGAATAGATTAAATTTTGAAACTAGATTTGTTTGAATTTTAAGCAGTTAACTTAATGCTGACGTGAAAACTAAGTGTCCAGTTCCCACTAGCAAGACAATTATTAGCATTCACCGTAGATATGTCACAGACGAGGCTAAGACAGCTGCATGGTATCCTTTGTTTTCCAATGGCCTCAGAAGCTAGAATAATTAAATCTGCCTTGAGATCAGTCGACCCTTAAGAAACCGATCAGCTGCATAAAATTTACTACCAATGTCAAAATCATTTAAATTCCTTTAGGCTAGACTTTATAAGGCGTTATCTTGTGTTTCGCGTATTTTATCGAAATGACAGTAACATAGAAAAGCCTATAGGTGGTGAGTTGCTTATTATCGAATATTTTTATTTGATCAATTGGCTGACTACTCTGGGAAATATGAGATGTTTTTCAGAGTGGTTGTTATCAGTTGGAAAAATTATTTATTCCCGGTAAACATAACCGTGTTCAGCGCATTGTCTTGACAGATATTTTTTGATAAAAAAAATTTATTTATCGAATTCAATTGTGTCAGTTAATTGCATCCATTGTTTTGCAAAGATTATTACCACAAGTATGAAAGTTAACAAATTAATTTTAACATATTTCTGCCAAGATATACGCCCCAGATTGCTCAAATAATGACTAACATCTATAGTACTGGTGTATGAAGTTTGCTAAATAACGATAGTTTTATAATTACAATAATAACTAAACAAGTGGTTGGGATGCGGATGTCATAAGTTCGACTATCTGATTCATGATGAATAAACAGCAGTCTTGACTACAAAAGAGGATCTCAGCACTTATTGACTCAAGCATCAGAGCCTATAGATTGTTTTCAGAGAAGTACAGCCACGAATACACAGTACATTTATGCGCAGTCAATCGCTTAGTTTTATAGTATCCATTACAAATATACAGACGTTAATTATTATGAGTATCCTAGAAACAATTGTGCAACGTCTCAGTATTAATAAACCAATAAGTGTTATGGGTAAATTTTAACAAGTTATTATTTGTTTGACTGAAAAAACTAATATTACCTCATAACGTTTTGCGTACGTGACTCAAGACACTTTCAAATGAAGCAAGCATTTTGAATCCTTATTTGCATCAAATTTTTAAGTACTGGAAAAGTTTTTCTATTCAGGAAGTGATAGTATCTGCTTTTACAAACGTCTGCCATTTTATCTACTTCAAGGCATGAGCTTACCGATAATATACTTTTCGGGTTTATTCCCTCTCTTTAAGAACCAATCCTAAATACGTTAACTAAGTAAAGAATACATGCTGTTGTGTGACGCGAACAGGAACTCACCAGTGTATTCTGCATGCTGCTGCTCATATACCTGCATGAGTTTGTGACATACAACACATACGTTCTTAGATGACGGTAATAACTGAAGTGCTTAGAAAACGTACACTTGTCGTTTAATCTACATATCAGTCGAAACGCTGATATGTACGAAAAAGATGTAACTATGAGAAGCTCAACAGACAGACAGTCAGACAAAGTCAATGCAGGATCCCTCACATATATCCATCCCTTCAACTCGCCACACTTAACACTCGTATGCAAACAACAAGTCAACAGAAAAAGAGGAATATCAAGGAAGACAGAGTAATATGAGAGAACAAACATTCTGGGGTTTAAGCTCAGTACGAATACTCAAGATTTCGAAGATGTCGAGGAGTGAGTTCATCTACGTCTGTTCCATTGTGACCAGCTTTCAGTCATGCCATCAAGAGTCCCGACTCACTGGTTCTTTTCGTTTCGGGGACCCTAACCAAGTAGTTTACATCTGCCTACACGATTCATACCGAAGTTAGGAGTCTTTATTTGCTGATGTCACGTCTGGATTTGACCACCCTAAACCTTCTTCAAACCTGACCCAGCTTTTCCCCACAATGGCTTGCCCAGGTAGGCAGTGGCTAGGGATGCATAACACTTGTATAAACCACCTCAGCCGATACTGGTTCACGGTGTCATCAACTGACTTTCCGTCTTCCATAGTACCCTTCTTCTGACCTTAAAAGTGATCGGACGGCGATTCTACCAAACGCGAGCAATGTTACGAAGATTTTGGTGATCAAAACCCTGTAATAGCTTCTTGTTTTCTACTTTCAGCAACCACGTCTCATAACCATATGGTAGAACAGAGTTGCTGCGACTCCTTAAGTAGGTGAAGTAGTCGACATATTCCACCACTTCACTGTCTGTCGTTAAACTGGGATTTCTTGCAGTAGACGAGTTATGGAGCGTCATCTTACATTTGACAGTTGACAGCTAAACGCATGCCAATCATTCTCAGATTTCTGCTCACCACGTTCAGAATACCCTGTATTTCATCATCGTCTTCACCCAGCAACGAGAATTATCTATTGACTGAAAAACCTCGTAAGATTCATACCACACATCCATGCTATGTTTAAGCTTTAAAAGAATTTTTATGGTTATTACGTTCTAATGATATTTTTTCTAGTTATTACCCTGGTCAAAACCGCTTACTTTTCATGATTCAAAGTACCCCAGTGTTATTTATGCTCGTTACTTTTATGTCAGTTGCTTATGTTTAGTTTTAGAATGCAAATAAACATGACAGTTAAAATCCTATTTCCTCTTTCAGTCAAGATGATACAACCTTTGCAGTAAAGTATGATTGTTGGACGATTATACTGATGATTATGTCATACCCTGTGAATTCGTAATGCGTTACTATCGCTTG